CAGTCATCGTCCGTGATTTCCTGCGAAGCTAGTAGGATCTACAAGGGAGGTCTTTCAGGTCGTGGCGCGCTTTTTGGAAATGGTTTGTTGCTTGTTGTAGGGGTCCATACAAGGATCACAAAAATGGGTTTCATTTTTGCTATGCGTTTCTGGGGAGGTCAAAAACTGAGTGAAAAGAATTTGACAAGAATGGGATTTTAACTATCTTAATGGGCTCCGTTCTGATTGTAACTTCGAGCATGCATAGTTTATGAGGTGCTCGTTAATTAGGCTTCGAAAATAGTTTTGAATAAAGTCAAAATGTAAGTATCATGTAGTAACACACTTGGCATGCACCGACGCAACAGTGATGTTTTTGTCAGCGGTCCCCTCATGCTCACTGTCGGCGGATCGGATGGCGCAGCGGATAACTCGATGGATTCTGGATGGGACGATAATATGGTACTTTATTTGAAACTATTTTCGACCTAATTGGAACACCTCATAAACTATGCATGCTCGAAGTTACAATCAGAACGGAGCCCATTAAGATAGTTAAAATCGCCCATTCTTGTCAAATTCTTTTCACTCTTTTTGACCTCCCAGAAACGCATAGCAAAAATGAAACCCATTTTTGTGATCCTTGTATGGACCCCTACAACAAGCAACAAACCATTTCCAAAAAGCGCGCCACGACCTGAAAGACCTCCCTTGTAAGAATGTTCACTGAGGCAACGAACTCCAGTGTATGTCTCGGGAGGCACCTTTATACTGCGATAAGTGGTTTCACCTAAGATCAGGGCACTAGCGGCAGGGACAAAAAACAAACAGAAAAAAAGTATAAAACACCAAATTCTATTACAAAGAAGATAAACAGCCAGAATGCATTTGGAGCACAAAATCAGCAGAGGGAGAGCTCGTCTGAGCCGACCTACTCGTACGATGTCAGAGGTGTTCTGCGATCCTACTTGGGTGGGGCGAAGTCTTTAATGTTGTTCCTGCTGATTTCTTCGCCAAAGTGCTGAATGGCCCTTAGTGCTCTTACGGTGAGCTATATGTATACCCGTTATTTCTTCATCGTACGCCTTGTTTCAAAGGAATTCAGGAAGGTACTTACACCCATACAAGTAACAAGTAACTAACCGGAAAACGGCGTAAAGCGGTCCACGTAAGCTGGACCTCTTTTCCGTAAGATACACACGTAGATCGAGCAACGCAGGCATAACATATTCAATCATTGCCTTTCGGAAAGTTTGAGTAATCATTTCCTTAGCAACAGCCTGAAAATTCAACGAATCTGGTTTCTGTACTTGTACTTGACTATGTAAGTAGACTCACCACAACAAGCGCCGGAGGCTCTTCTTCCACGTCTGGACCTTTTCCTACATCCATGTTCAGTTTTATTTCCTTGAGAGACATTACCTGAAATTGGAATATTCGTATACTTTACTTGTTTACTTGAAAGTTAGGTAACGTACCGTCAATGCGTCCCTAACTAGAGCAAACACGCAAGGATCTTCGTATTTCAGCTTCCCATTCATCACCGGACAGATAATTTGGGTGCATATATGAGCCATTAGAGTGAATTTACGAGTATCGTCGAATGTGCTCAGCTAAATTTGAAAGAAAATTACCACAGAAATAAACGCCCAAAATCAGACGGATTCTGAAGATACAGGGGTAGTAGCCTATGTCCAAACTGAATAACAGGATTATTTAATCACCTGGTTGTTCCTTACACGATAAGTTCTATTAGTGCGTCCTATACGGGAAGTACATACCAGTCTCACTTCAAGTTCACCCTTTTCAAGCCAAATTCAATACTTTCCAAACAAAGAGCACCATTATTTAAATTCAAACTCACAACACTTTTTAGATCGGGCAATTTACCAACCGAATCGACACCACCGCAAGCCACGCCCCCACGGCCGCGCCCACTTGTCAGCACGGCCATAAATTCTCAAACTTTATTTTATGCCTCTATGACCTGACTTTTGGTATTTCGCATACACATTGACAGAAAATGACTTTACAACGACTACTACCGCTCTACAAAGGATTTGTTGCAATCCTGGAAGTTTCACAGCTTTTTTTCTGCATCGTTAATTTTACATTCACGTCGCAGATCGAACGCATATATACGTACACGCGCTCTTATGCATCGACACACCAAACTCCGCCCCTTGAACCACGCCCACTGCTGCATCTTTTTGCAAAATCTTGATACTTGCCCGGTTATTTTGTGTAATTGCGGATGGAACTGTTTTTTATAGAATATCGGCTCAAGCTAGGTTAAGGCCGCGTTCATAGCTTGCGACCATGAAGAAATGCAGAAATGCGGAAAATGCAGAAGTGCGGAAAGTGCAGACGTGCGGAATCTGCAGAAAAGTAATAGATACGTATCGACTTGAAGAAATGCAGAAGTGCCGAAACTGCAGATGTTGCCAGAAAAGGCCAACCGATACGTATCGGGATTGTTCCACACGTTTACGGCATGTTTTGCAGATTTCGGCACTTTGCACTTTTCGGCATTTCTGGCATTTCTTCAAGTCCATATTATCCATTGCTTTTCTGCACATTCCGCACTGTCGGCATTTCTGCACATTCCGCACTGTCGGCATTTCTGCAGATTCCGCACTTCTTCACTTTCGGCATTTCTGCATTTCTTCAAATCGATACGTATGTAATGCTTTTCGTCATTTCTGCACTTTCCGCACGTCTGCAGTTTCGGCATTTCTGCATTTCTTCAAGTCGATACGTATGTGTTACTTTAGTTATGTTTCTGCAGATTCGCATTACGCTATCTTTGATGACTCTCTTGTCCGCACTCGCAGGCTAGTGTGTGTAGATATCTTTTGTATATCGGCATGTACGCTCGCCATGATACGAGCGGCAGGTGGCAAAGCCCTGCCACTCACAATCACAAGCGCGCTAAACGTTCGACTACTTGAAGAATGATGCGAACGCGTAGCAGAGTTCGAGGAGGCATAGTTCACAGCCTATCATGTCTGCGCAGTTCTAGCTCTGATCACACTAAGAGATAGGTCAGGGTTTTGTGTGCATAGTGTGTCTCGACAGCATGGCCATTTAACTATCGTTATTGTGCTGCTCCGAAGTATCTCAGACAATCAGCAGCCTTGAGGAAATCCTCAATGCTGGTGTTACCAGTGTGTATCATATATGTTAGTATTGGTGTGCGCCTGATTAGAGATATCTACTAGATTTCTCTTCTATTTGAGTGTATCTCAAGGTAAGGTAATCCTGAAGAGAATTTTTCGCGCTGAGAAAGCTGGCTCGAACAGCATGTACTGAATTGAGCCTTAGGTGCGGTAGACCGTGTCTCAGCGCTTGACTCGCTCTCTAACAATAGACATCTTCAGTTATGATTACTATTGCTAGCCCATCTACTGTTGTCTCGCACGCAGTGTCCCAACTCGCGGCGGGCGGCTAACACGTGCGGCGCTGATATTTGCTGCTCTCGTCGATATCCTTAGCAGGCTCCACGTACTATCCAGACAATCGCATCCTCGGCGATAGAGCTCGTAGCAGGATGCTACCCTACCACTACAGTGGCCTGTTGGGCGGTCAAAAACCGCGGGCTGCAACCGCATCACAGGTGGGTTTTCCATAGCAGCATAGTTTCGATATGCCGAGACCCTGTCTTGTTCGCTGGTCGAGAGTAGTCGCAAGCTGTCTTCTGGAGATATTCAGTACTCCTGGAGACGAATCCCGCTACGGTCGACCAAACGCAATACCTTGACGTAGAATGTTTCTGAGCGGCGCGCTTTTTCCGTTGTTCTCGTAAAGTCTCGATAAAAAACAGATATTCGAAGCCAGTATAGTTATGATATCGCAGTAAACGAGAGTCAGGATGTCTATTCTGCGGCTCAAAAATCTCTTAATGTTGCGCGCTAGAGTCTGAAACTAGATCATTGTAGGTGGTTGCAAGGCTCTTTTGTTAGAGATGTGGAATTTTCAAAAACGCATCGACATAATTCAGTTTGGTGCCGCGCTCGTCGTTGCAGCTCGCTGTTCCACAATTTGAGATAGATAACCGTACAGAAAATTGCGAACTCACTCGTGGCTCGCTTGACGCCTACATGTTTGTTCATCCGCTTCAAACGCACTCGGCAAGGAGTCCTGATTCTCTTAAGTTCGATACATGTGCGCTTTTGGACCGACAAAACAGAAAGCGACCCGACCCGTTTTTGGACCGAATTGTCACCTGTGATGAAAAGTGGATCATGTATGATAACAGGAGACGTTACAGTAGTTGGACGCCGACGAACCACCGAGGCAATTTCCAAAGCCGAATCTTCACCAAAAAAGGTTATGGTCACAGTGTGGTGGTCATCGGCTGGTGTGATCCACTATAACTTTTTGTTACCAGGCCAAACTATCATGTGGTGGTCATCGGCTGGTGTGATCCACTATAACTTTTTCACCAGGCCAAACCATCACAGCAGAGTCCTACTGTGAAGAAATCGACGAAATGTACCGAAAATTGCGTCAGCTGCAGCCAGCACTTGTCAACAGAAAGGGTCCGATTCTTCTGCATGACAACGCCCGCCACACGTTTCACAAATCACTATCCATAAATTGAACGAATTGGGGGTTGAAGTTCTACCTCACCCACCATATTCTCCAGACCTTTCACCAACCGACTATCACCTTTTCAAACATTTTCAGAACTTCCTTGCTGGAAAATACTTCATCAATCAGGACCAGGCAAAAAAGCCTCATGGACTTCGTGGATTCTCGACCACCCAGTTTTTTCTTTGATGGGATTTATCGACTGCTGTCACATTGGCAAAAGTGTGCTGATTCGAACGGTGCCTATTTCGATTAAATCCGATGAGTATTAAGAAAGTTATGATCGTTTAGTGAAACACTCAAAACGCTGAAAGAACTTTCCGGGACAACCTAATATTTGAGTGTAAATGTCATCTTTAGTTAAGGTTATACTCATACAATAACGCATACCATGAATTTATAGATAGTCATTCTACTTTCTTCGTTTTCAGGACCGTTGAGTGAAAGACGTTGATTTGTATCAACTACTTCGTGCACAGCTGAAACACCAGTTTTTGCTAGTAAAATCATTCTCCCGTTTCGTCAACGATAACCTTACCATCCCGTTCGCAGCTCACTGGCACATTGTTGAAATACATAAGGCACTCGATGAAATGACCCGAGAACAACTCTGGGAACTGAAGCAGCAACACATCTCGCTAAAATTCAATCAATTATTATTTGCTTGGTGACTATTTTCGTAGCTTTCAAACGAACTAACCAAACAAAACATTGCATATTCCCTGATAGACTTGTTCTCGTCGAGTATTGCGGACACAAAACGATACATGATCTGGAAGTAAAAAATCAAATCAAAGTAAAAAATATTTCAGAGTGTGATAACGAAACGCTTACCTGTCCTTCCCATCTTATGAACTGCTCTTTGATTAGTGACGTAAGGGAGTCCAATATTTGTTGGCGGACCAGGGTTGATGTGTCTTTGAGGCAAGCAGCAACGATGGGAGAGTAGCGGTCTACCATCGATGTATACCTGAAAAAAGAACCACTTAAAGGTAAGTGGCACCATAAATCCCCCAACACGTATAGGACTAATATGCCTAACAGGACAAAGTTCGGCGCTCCTGAGCAGGCACTGCGTGGCGCCTTTCTCCAGGGAAGGTACCCTTATGGGGCTCTATCAAGCTGCAACATACCGACCCAGACGCCCACCGCGCCTGCCCGCCCACAAATGGACGACCATTGCTGATCGCTTCATTTGCAAAGTACAATACGAAGGGATCGATATGGAGCGGCTGCGAGGCTGCCTGGATATATGAGTACATAAGTTGCGGCTATTGGCACGACGCCAACGGTAAACTCGTCCGAACTGCTTTCTGAGTCATGTAGAACACAGGCTTTTTTGCAGGTTTTTGACCGTTTCACTTCGCTTTTTCGCCATTTTCCCCACTATATAGCGCCCCGCTAGCATTTGTGACCGAGTACCAAATTACCGCGCCTTATGTTTCTTAAGAAATAGCTCTCCATCTGTAGCTCCAATTGAATTGAAAACTCCTCAATTCTACTGCAATTACTTGAAAACCAAGACGTACCGGATACACAAATCACAAATAACAAGGGCAATGTTGTTTCTAATCACATGGTCCGAGTTTAGTTTCAGCTGCTTCACGAAAACGGGAATAGTAGATTTGGCTACCCTTCTCATCCTGAAATAAGTTCTTATACCAATATCAGTCATAACTAATCTGAGCATCCAGTACCATAAGACAGAATTTTCCAATCGTTAGAACTGCATGTGCTCTTACTCTAGGAGTGAGCAGAGCCTTACGATTGGCAGCCGCTGCTATCACAATGTCTGGTGGTATCACAGGGCCACCCTGTGAGGATACTGGGTGATCGTCCTAAAAACAGGATCTATTGACTGAAAGGCAAAACTCAAAACATGTGACGGAGAGAAGTCGATCAGTTTTAATCAAGTCGTACCGCGTTCGATGACGCTGTTGAAGGAGCCGGAGATGGCGCACGAGTGCTAGGCGGTGATGGTGACTGCTCTCGAGATGGAATAGGAGTTGGTTGAAAGGATGGTATAGCTGGATTCACCACTGAAAGTGTGAAAATGAAATATTAAAAAGTCAGGGGGTTAGTTACGAATAAATGATTTTCCATGATCGAGGCACTCTTAGAATACCACCTGCACACGGACAACTTACTAAAAACAAGTCCATGGCGGATAGAATCTGGTAGCAGGTTCAGTTCACAATTCCAATTTTGAATTTAATTGGTGGCAAAAAGTAGTAAGTGTTCAATATATCGTTTATACTTTGAAATTGTATTATTTAGTTGAACTTGATCAATTTTTAACTTGCTCTTTACTTACTTATCCTAATTATTATTTCTCATTTTGTCTCTTGTGTTCTTCGTTAACTTCTTAAGTGATTTTTTGAAACTATATATTGTAATAAAAAATAATTTTTGTGTGTCTATAAGTCTGCAAGCGAATTGCTAGGACCACCGGCAAAACATTAACACCGCTCCTCCGCATCAGAAAAGGCACAGTTGGGCGACGGAGAGGGGGAAGGGGCATTATGCTTTCTTACTGCTTCACTCATTCGGAGCTTACAAGTCTCACTCTAGTGAGCCCTATTAACTTTTCTGAAGCTGGAGCAAGGTCGGTGAAGCACCATGGCAAATGGTATAGTATGATATTTTGCTGCTATACAAGAATTGACAAGTGGTCTGTGCAAATGTTGGGCAGTATTATTTTCTGACTTCACAAACTTTCATGGGTCTCCACGACGCGTTCATTGGAAGCAGCAAAAGTGCATACTACCCGTTGCCGAACTGCGCCACTGCGCTACAAAAAAATCGGTTAACTTTCTCGACAACTCGGTAAAACATGACCCTACCTGGTTTTTCATCAGGCTCATTGAAGATGTCCGAGGATATAATAGTTTTGAGCGCATCCAATAGCCGTACACTTGTACTCATGAGTATCGGCGAGAACTGAACAACCTCTCCAATGGTTGTGATGACACGTATGAGCAACGTTTCACGAGCTTCCAACCTGTAAAGCCATACCATCTAGTAAATGGTAAACAACAACAACTACATGTACAAAATTCGAACTACCTATCGGGATAATCATACTCTTCGTCGATTTTCTGTAGAGATTCGCGTATATGTATACGGCTCTGTCTGAGGAGTCGCTTCCCTAGCTTTCGTAAGTCTCTTCCTGGCTGTAAGCGAGATAACTTAGAGCAAACACATGCAGAGGTCCGTTTGATCGAAAACATTAATCAAATTTGATACAGTTCGATCATACAGTTTTCGTCACTCAACTCAAATAATACCATATCAATATTCTCAGAAGAACACTGAACGAGCACCTTGAAATGCTCCAAGGCTAATGTAACTCTAGAGGCCACAAACGGGGGATAATGAACTACGACCACACTAGAAACTGAGCAGAAGAGGAGGCGAGCGGCTTGGGGACTTTCTAGAGCATCGAGGGAGTAGCGAAGAACACCCCGCTCCGTGATCATCTCTTCCACCCCGAGGTCCAGCTCTAACTTACGTCTCGGAGACTTAGATACTAGGAAATCAGGACCAGCGTGCGGTTAGCGTCATTCCTCGCCTGTCAAGAAAAGCTGATGCCCAGGAGGGTTTCCCGCTATACAAGGGTGAGGAGAGAGGAATCCGGAGTTTTGCACTCAGCGCGGCGATCAAGGCGAACCAAGACGTGAGGCGAGCGGGGGGAAGGCTCAGCCGCATTAGCCAAGACTTTGGAGATCAGTTGAGGCCGGCACTCATGGTCATTTGCAGATGATCGCAGGGCCAGTGAAATACCGTACTGGCATTCCAAGGAATGTCAACAAGATCCCTAGGACGAGCCGCCTAGGCGATTGGTGAGGGGTTTTAGGTGGAAGGGTCTGAACGAACGGTATCTTTGGTGGTTTATCGCGTCTCTGGAAGCACGAAGGGCCAGACAACGCCTAGCGCATTGCAAGGGAGAGATAGAGACGCCTACCAGCGCCTACTGCGAGGCAATTTGATGAATCAGCGACTAAGCAGCTGTAGGTGAGTGGCGATACTATGAAGAATTAGGAGCTTTGAGGTACAGAGAGCTGTTCTTTGTCGAACCCTGCTATGGGTCCTTACTCATGGCAGTGGCTGTGGATTCGTGCTCCACCACTGAGGCCAATCAGTACTTCTGCTCACCTGTGCATTCCTCGCCAACAGCATCCATGAGTTTAGCTAAGCAAAGGAACGCAGACGAAATATTCATGGCATCGATTCTGAAGGTCATCACTTCCAAAAAGATCAAATCATTACTAGATCAAAAAAAGAAAGAGAACCACCTGAAATCAGTTATTTTCGTTTCAATGTCAGCACAAAGATCGGCCTTCTCAGTAGCATTCAAATCACCACAGGATCTTGACAACACTCTTGTTACGTAGCGTACCTAATCACAGCCATCATAAAGACCTAATTAAATATTAGTAACGCAGCAAGAGCGTACCGGCTGTTGTTTCGGTATCTCCATCTTCAATAGTGTACCACGCTTCCAAAGCTTTCCTTGACTTCACCTGTACAGCTTCGATGAGAATGACAACCCTCGTAAAATAACAATGATCTCTAAGAAAATTGAAATTTTGACTGACTTTGAAAATACCGCTGAGATTCGTGCGCATGACAGCATCCAGATCACATCCACCTCTGTCGGGCATGTCTCAAGTTTACGATTTAGACATTCAACAATTGTAGATTTGATATTTCCTTCTTGATGCTCATGCATGAGAGCGCGAAGAAGAAGACGCCTGCAACGAAACTTTTTTACAAAAATGATTTCATAACTGGTCAAAGGACACTCTGCCACCTGTTGTTGTTTTCCAGTTCAATCTCATGCAACATTTTCCAAGCAGTCGAATCGGTCTCGCGCATTAGAGGATCAACAACAGTTTTCTGCAAACATTGGCAATTCGGAAACTACTTACACTTATAAGTTACACAAATAAAAAAGAACTGTTCCGCCCAAACAGAAAAGTCTACTCCCAGCCGCCGATAAGGTTTTCATACAGCACTTATGGCGAATGTGTAGCACGGCTCTTCCACCTGTTACATGATGACGTGCCATTGACGTCACACGAAAAATGAGGAAACGCGCATTGCATCAGTTAACATGCCCCTCTTCTTCACCAACTCATCATCGCTACCCATCAAAACAAGAAAAGTCAAGAAAGTGCTAGTAAGAACAAGAAGAACCCCAAATACCAAGAGGGTCCTGAAAGTCTAAGAACAGCATGAAAGACTGAGAAGGAAAGAAGACGAAAGGGGAAGAATAAGAAGATCAGGCAGATCAAGACGGAAATCCAGGAAAAACCAATAATAACAGAGAGGACCGAGATAATCCTGAAAGACAAGTGAGTACCACTTCAACAAGAAGTCCAAGAAGACGCGGAAGATCTGGAAAGATTAAGTACAGCAGGCAAAACCACGAAAAAGAGGGAACAGGCGCAAATACAACATCCACAACGGACGAGCAAACAGTACCGTCCTGAGTGAGAGGCAAGGGATGACTAAAAAAGATCAAGCAGAAGCGCTAAAACATGGAAGATTCCAAAACATAAGGAGAACACCATGAAGAGCCGCGAGCGCCAAGAAGAGCCAGGTGAGACGTCGAAGATTGCTATTAGGCTGTTCGGAAAGAAATGCGCATCGAATTGGTCCATTTATTTCTCTCCTACCATAGAAGATTTTTCGAAACAGTTCCGTCTATTAGGTAAAGATTTTTAGGCACTATTGAACCATTCCTACCCCAAAAAACACGAAATTTTTTTGCTGAAACATTGCCTATAGATGTAATTTGATGAGCTGATCACGAATATAACATTCGTT